TTTTAAGCCGATATTTCATTGATTATATTATTTATATTTATATCATCTATACGATATTCGAATATTTGTTTTTAGATATTTCACCTAGCTATCTTTCAAATATCGGCCTTTTATATTAAAAAATTTCGACCAGTGACACTTATCCAGGAACAAATCGTGGAAGTCCAGGAAATGGTTGATGAAACCATAAGAGACCGTAGTCTTTATGACCCACAATCCCTAAAATATTTTTTTAAAATATTAACAGATGTTAGCCAGGATAACAACCCTGATGGCGATGACGAAGGAGAAGATAATATTGTGCATCTGCCCTCCTATATCCAATTGAATCTACCTCTAGTACCTTCTGTAGTCCCCGTCCCAAAAGTTCTCCTGAAGTCTCAACAACCAAGACCTACCGTAACTGAAGTATTCGACGCCTACTATGACAAATCCACAGAAGAACCTCTTGAAAGTATTGCTTTCGGCTCTAAGGAAGAAGAACGAGAAACTGAATTGGAAGTTCTTCTTCAAAAGCTCGTTGCCGAATGTGAAGCTGTCGACAAAAATGGGCCCTGAAAAAGAAAAAGGCAAAAAAATGGAAGTCGAGAAAAAGAAAGTTAGTGACATTAAGGCGACAAAGAAAGAAGCTGAAGAAAAAAATAATGACTTACCCGACGAACACATAAAGGTTGCTAGAATAGGAGGCGCTGAAGAAACATACCTAGTTGGACCTTACTGCGAAGAAGTTGGAGTTAAGGAGGTTAAAGAAAAGAACGAAATTGAAGTCGAAAAGGAAGAGGCTGGAGTTGAAAAGAACGAAGAAAAAGAAGTTGAAATTAAAAGAGAAGAAAAGGAAGAAACTAAAGAAGAAAAAAGAAAAAAGTATGAGGAAAATGTACCCGCGAGAATTGGAAAAATCGTAGGTGAAACCGAAGATGAAGACGATGACAACGAAGCTGACAAAAATGAAGAAGTTAACGATGACGACGATGAGACGATTGTAGACGAAGAAGATGATGCAAAGAAAGAAGACATAAAAGAACTTACCAAAAAAAGTAAAGACCTGGATTATGGCTGCAAATCGTGGATAAAGAAAGTTGAAGGATTTAGAAGTAGGGTCGGATGGGAGTAGAGGAGCAAAAGAACCTACCGATAATGAACTTGCCGAGGCCAAAGAAGATATGACGAATATCGGTGAATGTTACCGAAATGAAGGTGGAGTTAAAAAGAATGAAAATAAAGCCTTCACCTATCATCAAAGATCTGGCGAGTCAGGTGATGTGGATGCAATGTACCTGGTTGGGGATCACTACGAAAATAGAGTCAGAGCCGAAAAAAATGAAGTATGGGAATGGCGTTGGAAACATGCGGAAGATGGCGATTCGAAAGAACAATTCGATCCTGGTGGGTTTGACCAAAGCAGAATAATAGTGGAAAAGAATTTGGAAAAAGCTAATGAAAAGTGGAAGAAAAAAGTTAGAGTATTTTTAGGCAAGAACAAGGGTGATTTCGATGAAAATAAGAGGGAAGAATTCATACCACCTCGAGTTCCGATGTTCGACACTGCCCCTGGTCAAGTCGTAAAAGGTCTGTGGAATTAGGTGAAGAAGAAAAGAAGAGATCTCGGAACGTATACGTCACGGAAGTCTTGATTTGGAAATGTTCTAGAAAGAAAGAAAAGGAAGGCACAAGGCTGAAGAGGTTAAGAAACAGCCAATGCATGCCTAGAAACCTAACGAAAGAACTTGCCCTATACTTACCACAGTGGAATGAAACTCGCGTATATGACCCTGGGGGAAAACAACAAATGACCTTTACTGGGCTTACCACTGTGTAAAAAAAAAAAAAAAAAAAAAAAAGCGATAGAAAGAGTTACCAAAAAGATGAAAGTGATGAAGCAAAGAAGCCAAGAGTCAAATCATAGATCAAGATCAAAGGGTAGAAAAAGAGATAAAAAAAGCGCTAAAATGCAGGGGAAAGAGAGTAAAAATTCGCAGATCGGTAACATCCACTCTTATATACCTAAAATAGTTAGAAGTTTAATCATGTTGGATGAAATCGTCAATGATATTACTTGGTCTAAACCTATTGAAATAACCCCAATGCCACCACTCTACAATGACTCACATGATCTGGTAAACCGGGTATCCTTGACATGTCCCCTACTTACTTGATCTATTCGGTTACGAGAAAGAATCAACATCTTGGTATACTTCTACTACTTGGGGATAATCTTTGCAGCAGCAACTCCAGCACAGAAGAGGTTACTTCATGAAATGGTTACTCCCTACTATTACACCGTCGCTCTTAAGGTTTATGATGTCTTCGTAGTTGTCAGAATAGACCAAATATACCGCACTACAAGAGTAACCTACCACTTGGTATACTTCTACTACTTGGGGATAATCTTTGCAGCGGCAACTCCAGCACAGAAGAGATTACTTTGTGAAATGGTTACACCTACTATTACACTGTCGCTCTTAAGGTTTATGATGTCTTCGTAGTTGTCAGAATAGACCAAATATACCGCACTATGAGAGTAACCTACCAGAATCTTAGAATTTTAAGCATTGACGACGTAAAGCGAGTTAACATTAGAAGCTCGTGGAACTCACCTTTAAATGGGGTGAAATGTGAAGATAGAAAAACATGACCTAATAATCGCTGCGCCAACTCATGTTACCCCGGTTTTGATGATCGCTAACCGAAAAAGGAGTTGTCGGTGATATATTAAATATAATGAAGAAATTAGCTATATCCCGGATAACTAATATAATGAAGATAATAGATAAAACCAATTTAATAGTTATAGGAGATATAATAGTTTTATTCGTTATAATCAATTTAATAATTTTAATAGATATAAGGGATATAATGATTATAATAAGTACTAAGCAAAAGTTTATTATAAATAAAGGCGTTATCGCTCCAAGAAAAATTATGTTTTGTTTGCTTCACTAATAACCAAGTCTCAAAGTTATCAAATACATTGGCCATAACATTGTATAAAAATACTATTACGCAAATACACTTTTGAACCCTAAAGTTATAATTTGTCATTCGTTAAGACCTTGTTCACGTGACCTAGCGTTGCTGTCTCAGAGTAACTGAAGCCTTAAATCACCTACTAGCCTAATCTAACACACCTCTTTCGTAAGGTTACTACCTGCAGATTACGTGAGTTTTTGGATTGTGGAGCAACCAAGTCGCAGCTATTCTGCCCATAACAATGCATATATAATTATACAAGAAACTTTATTGCACAAACAGTCTCTCAAACCTGAACTGCCAAAATTGATAGCCTGTCAAATCTGATAAAAAATTAATTCACTAGTTCATAAATCTAGTAGTTTAAATGTTTTAAACCTGATAATCTCATAATAGTGATACAATTGTCTACTATGCATATTAGTTTTGATAGGGTATAACAGTATTAACATTAAAAGATCGAAATTTTTCTATTCTTTTAAATTTTATTATATGAATATTTTGGTCGATTATTGATTTATCATAAATTTTAACAAAATACTGTTAAACCTTTCAAACATGACTCTGTTAAAATTAATAACTTGTTAAATCTGATAGAAATTAATTCACCAAGTTCGCTTTCTCTATATAAACCTAATACTTTTGAACTTCTCAAAACAGATATGCACAGTAGACAGTATTAGTATTATGAGTGAGATCATCAGTTTTAAAACATTTAAACTACTAGATTTATGAACTTGGTAGATTAATTTTTGATCAGATTTACAGGTATCAATTTTGGCAGGTTCATGAACTTGGTAGATTAATTTTTTATCAGATTTGACAGGTTATCAATTTTGGTAGATTTGGGTTTGAGAGATTCAACACTGCTTGTGCAATAAAGTTTTTTTTTTATTATTGTGTTATGCTTATACATCTATTCATTGGTATATTATATACCAGTAATCGGTAGGTACAAAATCACGTGAATGGTAGATGTCTGGAGGCTTTCCCTGAAATAGAACCCCACCAGGAGTCTAGATACTTTTGCAGTAATGTGATGTAGCACATGAGAAATGGCCAATCGGGATGCGTAAATTTTGTTCGTTCCAGATCAGCCTGATGTCAAAACAAAACATATGCACAAGAAGAAAAAAAGTGAAAAAAGTGAAAATACTCAAAAACTAGTGTTTAAATCGGCTTTTGGTCACTAACAAGAAATGTCAGGAGCATAATTTTACATATAAAAATGATCTTTCAAGGCCTATAACCATGAACCCTAACTGGAAACATAACATAAAGCCAAAAAGCTTATCTGAATATACCACAATATGCCACATCATGTTACTGCAAAAATGTCTAGACTTCTGGCAGAGTCTACGAAATAGGGTGAGTGGCACAGAGATTATTGGCATGCCAGGGTGGCATGCCTATGGTGGCATGCCATAGACATGCCCAATGCCCAGATTGCCTATAGGCATGCTATTTATATATATTCTGAAAGGTTCCGAATAGAAAATAAAATAATGTAAATTCTGAAAGGAAAATTGGAGCAATGCTCCAAAGTATTCCGAAAGGTTATTTTATAGTAGACGATAACTGACCAATCCCAATCGAGTATATTATCACGTGGTTTAATGGCATGCCAGGGTGGCATCCTGGCACGAACTTTAGCGATTGGCATGCCATATAGCATACAATATTTTTTAGCCATGCCACTCACTCTACTATGAAAAGATGAAATCTTAGTACTAGCGAAGGTGTTAAGAAGAGTAGGATCCTTTTTTAAAGAAAGATAATAGAACACTTATCTAAGCATAACACTAATTTTACCAACCCAATTCACCCTGGTTACTCGGACCAAGTCTTTCCACACCTCAATCGTTGCCTTGGGTTTGATTAAAAGTAGTTTTGGTGCTTTGATTAGAGTATCTTACTTAGTATTGATATTTTGAGTAGTGAGTTATTCTATATCGATCCAGTAATCTTTTCGACGCAGCCCACATTTTTCCCCTTTCACAACGTACTCGAATTAACCTCCTCACCACAAAAATAGTAAACAGAAGGTAATCAATACCTTAGACGAAAAAGTTTTGTACATAGTGAACATGTTCAACATAGTGTACATATGGTACACAGTCAACATAGTATACATGGTGCACATAGTGTACATAGTGAACACATGCAATAGTAATTATGTACCAATAATTGTAAGAAAATATAAAAAGACCTACCCTTTCACTTGAATAAAAATTAATTCTTGGAGATTCAACTTCGAAAATTATATAATAGAAGTATCCAAGTAGTAATAAATCTTTTTATAAAAAATAATCGTATTGTCTTGTCCCGTGACTTTGTCATTATTTAATAAGAAATAGAAAGAAATGATCACATTAGTAGAGATCCATAGAAACTGTCCTTTTTGAGGCCATTGGTAGAGGTTTGGATAACTGATCGAATTATCATCAGCATTAGTAGGAATACAGTTTGATGCTAGAAATTGCCAAATTTTGTAATTAACAATACAATTAGTTATTTGTAGGACTAGAACTTATATAAGCATATATTTGACGTACAACATATGGTGAGTACTAGAGATGCCGAGAAAACCATGTGATGCTAAATAATCACAAGGAAATAACTAGTAATTTTTTTAAGTCATATGCAATAAGTATAAGATATAGTGTGTGATGATTTAGCATCACATGGTTTTCTCGGCATCTCTAGTGAGTACACAGAAATTCATGCTTAGAGTATATATAATCTACAGTATATAATCTAATCACGGTTTTCACCCATATGTTATACAATTACATATAATAGCCCAAAGCATAATACAATACACGTTGTATACACGCTTTGCATTTATAATAATATTCTAGATTTTTGAAAAATCCACATTTAATTAATAGAGATCCAACAGTTCGTACATGGATTTAATTCATGGTGCGAAGCTTGCTTGCTTATGAGAAATATTATTGATACCATATAATGCAAAAATGACCATGGTCTCCTGTTATTTATTAAGATGACCTTAATTCTGCTTGTATTAAATAATAGAACTAATGTCTTGTTTTAAAACTTCGTTTGATAGTGAAAACATAAAATTTTAAATTTTAAATCGTGATATCTCTTAAATAAATAAATGGACACAAACAGAAAATTGCACTTATTGAATTTTCTTAGTGTGTTATTTTCTATCTTGGCATATATAAAAATAAAAACAAGCATCATCTTAAAGAAATATAATAACTGTAATTTTAATTTATCTGTTTATTGGATTAAGAAATATTATACCTTAAAATTTATATCTTTTCGTATCTACAATCGTTAATAAAATCTTTGTTAATAATCATCTTATGTATGTTTGCGGACATTCTAGTAATTTACAGAATTTTGCATAACTAATTAATTAGCAAATTGCGCCGACTCATCCAACACAAGACAACGAAAATTTACTATACCCACGAAATATTCTATGATATACTAGGAACGGAGTGTATAGTTAGTTATACGGAGGTGAATGTTGTGTACAAATCCAAGCATTTGATTGGTACGTATCTCCTTTCACATGTCATCTAGGTTTGTTCATCTTGTTTTATTTATATTTGTACGTACGTACGTACGTAAAATACACATTAACACGTACTGTTATGTACGTACAAAGTGTGTCTCCATAAATGTACAGATAAATGATAAATCGATTCGATTATCTACACTACCAGCGATGATTAACAGCTTGCAACCGAATACATATAATCCGAAGTATAGAGATCAGTATACATTGTAATATAATGTAAGGCTATAAAAAGTTGGAATAAATTAGTATATGGGATCTTTGCTAGGAAAATGACCTCCGAGACTATATTGATTTTATGAATAACCATTAAATTTGCCAACCATCTAGTTATCCAATTTGAATAAATTTTTTTATTTTGTGGTTTCTATTGAGATTTACAAAATAAAAAAAAGTTTATTCAAATTTGATGACTAGATGGCTGGCAAATTTAATATTTATTCACAAAATCAACATAGTCTTGGAGGGTCATTTTCCTAGCAAAGATCCCATATAATAATTGAATAATGCTAACCTATTAATTTTAATGATAAACTAGTTGTCCGGGGCGTAGGGAAAGACGATATATCGATACGCGTGACGTGCGTGATCCTATTTTTAGTAACTGCTCTAATAAAATTTTTAGCTTCGGATATACAACAGAGCTTATTTTTTTAGTACTAATATTACATTACTGTATTATATACCAGAGTAACTAGTTTGAAATTAGTATTTAAAGGTGTTATACATAGTAAAATTTTATTATTTAAAATATCTAATACAGTTAATATCGATATGCATGACAGACATCCTTACACCAGAATTACCGCCAAATTTGATGTACCGAGTTCTTAATATAAAATTTTAAACGGTTAAAAAGGATTTATTAATGGATAGCATTTCACTGACTACCAGTAGTATATTGTACTACATTGTGACACACTTTAAGACCAATTATCTAGTTATTTATCAAATTAATTA